TTATTAAAGGCACTTGAAAAATAATCTGCCATTTAGTTTATTCAGTCTCTTTTGTCTTTCTTTTCTGATCATTTTTATTTATTTATTTATTTTTTTATTGAGTCACAGTGATAAACACATTTACAAAGTTTTTCATGATCGAAATTCAGTCATATTATGTTCTAACACCCATTCCTTCACCACCAATGATCCTTGTTTCCCTCCTGATATCTGCCCCTATGCCTCCCTATGCCTGACACTATGGCAGGTATTTTTCTTTTATTCTCTCTCTCTTCTCTCTCTCTCTCTCTCTCTCTCTCTCTCTCTCTCTTCTTTTTGAGATTTATGGTTTGCAATATAGATAATGAAAAGTTATCAGGTATATCCCTTTACCAACTTTCAACACTCAGTGTCTGTCTAAAATGATCATTTCCGACTATTATTGTCATTCTCTATCCTAACTGGCCTTTTGCCCCTCCCTCTCACTACTGTGGCAAGCTTTCAACCACTGACCTGTCCTTCTGACCTCTGTTTAACCTTGCCTTGGATTTTAGTCATTCTATACCTGTCCCGCTCCTTCTGACTCATTTTACTCAGCATGATACTCTCCAGTTCCATCCATTTATAAGCAAATTTTATGACTTCATTGTTCCTAACAGCTGCATAGTATTTCAGTGTGTAGATGTACCTTAGTTTCTTTAACCAGTCATCTGTTCTCAGGCACTTGGGTTCTTTCCAGTGTCTGGTTATTGTGTGGCAATGAACATGGGAATGCAGATGGCATTTCTGTTATGTATTTTTGGGCTCCCAGGGTATATTCCCAGGAGCGGTATTGCTGGATCAAATGGGAGCTCAATTTCTAGTTTATTTGTGGAATATTCATATTGTTTTCTAAAAAGCCTGGGCCAGTCAACATTTCTACTAACAGTGAAGGAGAGTTCCTTTCTCCCCACATCCGCACCAGCACTGGCTGTTCTTATTCTGTTGGTTGTGTGCCAGTCTCTGTAGTGTGAGATGATATCTCCTTGTTGTTTTGATTTTCATCTCCATGATGATTAGTGATGTATTTTTTCATGTGAGTTTTGACCATTTTTATTTTTTCTTTAAGGAAGTTTCTGTTCATTTCCTCTCCCCATTTTTTGTTGTAGTTGAATGTTTATTTCTTGTAAAGTTCTACCAGTTTCCTATATAGCTTTGATATTAACCCTTTATCAGATGGGTATTGGGTAAATAATTTTTCCTATTATGTGGACTCTTTGTAACTTAGACACTATTTATTTTGAGGTACATAAGCTTCTTAGTTTCATGTAGTCCCATTTGCTTATCTTTGCTTCCACTTACTTGGTTAGTGGTATCTCATCTTTGAAGATGCCTTTAACTTCAATGTTGTGGAGGGTTATTTATTTATTTATTTATTTATATTACCCATTCCTCCACCAGTGCCCATTTCCTACCACCACGGATCCCAGTATCCCTCTCACCCTCCCATCCCTCTCATCCCACCCTGTCTCTGTGGCAGGGTATTCCCCTTTGTTCTCTCTCTCCTTTTGGGTGTTGAGGTTTGCAAAAGAGTTAAGCCTGATTTTCAGGGAGAAATGTTGGATGATTTACTATCCATTAATCACTTGTATATAAAGAGATGTCGCATGGCTGCTTATGCGGCCGCACAGTTCAGAAAAAAATGTCCTGGTACCCGTATGCCAGAGCTATGCTTGTAGGAGCTCATGGTCACTAGGGTTCCATCTGGAGAAAGCGGGATGCAGGACCTACCCCATGTGGGACCTCCCGGTGATATCAGCTCTGTTTGGGACCTGCAGTATTCTCTGGGAGCTGTGGCGCCCTCCAGCCACTTTTCTTCTTTGTTGCTGTGTGCTGTTGTTGTAGAGGGTTTTGCCTACATTTTCTTCCAGGTAACTTGTGGGCTCAGGTCTGATGTTTAATTCATTTTGACCTGACTTTTGTGCATTGCATTAGAAAGAGGTCTGAGTTCACTTTTTTACATATAGCTGCCCAGTTTCCCCAGCACCACTTGTTAAAGAGGCTTTCCTTGCTCCATTTAATACTTTTTGCTTCCTGAATCCAAGATTAGATGATCATATATTTGAAGGTCTGTTTAAAGATATTCAGTTCTATTCCCTTGTTTTGGTGGTCTGTTTTGTTAGTACATTAAAACATGCTGTTTTAATGACTACTGCTTCATAGTACAGTTAATGTTAATGTTGGGGGAGTAATGCCTCCCATCTTCTTTTTCCCTAGAGTTGCTTTGGCTATTCATGGAGGTTTATTGTTCCATATACTTTTCAGGAGTGCATAGGGACTGCATTGAATCTCTATAATGGTCTGGGGACTACTGCCATTTATTATTCAGTTTCTTAGCTGCTATTATTCAGTTTCATAAGAAATTCATGATAAAGTCCTCCCTTTTACTTTACAAATATCCTAGAGGAAATAATGATAACAATGATGGCATCATCTGAATGCTCCGTATGCCCCAGGCAGGTGCCACTTCCTCTGCCTTCTAGAAAGGTTCAGATATCTGGATACAGTGAGGGTCATTAGGAAAGTGTGTCTTCACTTTCAGAACGGGGTTATGGCAGAAGATCTTGTCCAGCCATAGGCATTTTGAAAGGATCTCTTCTCTAATGCTTTAACATGTAACTCCATTGAGATTGGCATGAAGGGCCTTAGCCCTGAAGGAGCAGCTCAGGATGGAGAACTCTGTTGATGTGGGCTCTTACACTCAACCATCAAGCCCGTGGCTCTGTGAGTACTGCATACATGGAGAGGGCAGAAGTGCCAAGCTGTCTTCCCAGGCTTGCTCTCCACATCTGGCTGTGATTTGGATAGCCGTCATTACCTCTCACTGTTCTTTTATCTCTGTATGGTACAACTTTCTGACCTCTTTCTGCTACATGCAGCAGTAGGATATCAGTTCCTGTCCTGGGAGGCTACAGTCTGCAGAATGAGATTTAGTTGTCCCGACTCAGCTTTAGTCCTGAAAGGCATAGGGTATTGGCTGGGCAGGAGCAAACCTGACACCAGGATGAACAGACATACAGAAAGATGGACCTTGCAGTCAGCCTGGAGCCAGAGCCCACATGTCTAAACATCTGTCCAAGAGGAACCAAGACCAGAACCTAGAAGCAGTGCTGGGTTGGCACCAAATATTTTTCCCAGAACAGAGAGAGAAGCAGACAGGTCTCGACCTGGGAAGGTGATTCATGTTTCTTCCCACTGGGTTTTATAGCTCCCAAGAAGGCTTTCAAGAAAGCCCCAAAGATCAAGAAGTTCAACCTTTACTATTTCCCATGGAGCATGGTTGCTGTCTACATTTTAAAGCAACTGACTCTGCCAAGATAATATTGTTTTCATTTGCTCTTTGAGGCATCTTTGCTATTTAGTTCTGCTGTGTGCTCGACCTCCACTTATTCGGGAATGGTGATCTTTCCCCTGCGGAGGGAATCTGGGCTTCTGTTAACCTTCATGTTGGCCCCCAAGTCTCATCACTTTTCCATCACACTGTCTTCCCTGATCTACTGAGCTTTAATAACTCATATTTGAAGTTCCAGTCCCTGTCTATTACTGACTAGGTGATTTTGTAGATTATTTAAATCCTTCTGCCAGTGGATTTATTCTTCTGTGAAATGGGGAGAACAGTATTTCCCTGGCAGAGACTGGGTTCCTGACACATGTGAACATTACACATGTGAACATGTGTAAATGTTCACAACCAACTTAGATAGGGCAGGAATCAGAGTTCTCTGCTGCTTGTGGACAATCTTCCCTTGTGCAGATCCTGCAAAGCTTAACATCCACAACGTTTTGTTAATCCTTTAAGCAAACATCAGTGTGCTTATCCAAGAACTAGTGACTATTGTACTCTGTCTGTAACAGGCCAACATCACCCCCCTCTGCATCTTTGGTCAGTCCCCATCATTGACCAGGATTTTTTCACAAGCCCACACACAAAGCCTTGGATGCACAGTATGTCTTTGCCAGCAGAGTTAATGAGTTACAAATGCTGGTCAACAAAGGTGAAAATATTCACATTCTAAAAATCTCAGCCACGTGTGCCAGGACAGTTTTCAATTGCCAGGGCAACTGTCTAGAAGAGACCAAAATATGGTTAGAGTTTGGGTGATGCTTTGACTCATAGAAATCACCGTTCAAAAAATCTCCCTCTTCTCTGGAACCCTATGATTTTTCAGTCTCGGACTAATTCACCCCATTTCTATGTCTGTATAGTCTAGGAGTCTGTCTGAGAGCAGGAGTGCTGTCATAGCATGCACTCTCTGTCTCCCAGTGTGCCCTCTGTTTGTTACTAAGTAGCTTGTCTTGGAAGTAACGCTCCTCTGGTTCTTGAGTTTATACTTTTATGAATACCTTTTACCCCCAATTTTGGCTTTTGGGCTACACCATTGTGCTCAGGGCTTACTTCTATTTTGCAGGAATTACTCCTGAATGAACTTGGGAACCAGATTTTTTTCATTTAAAAAAATTAAAAATATTAAAAAAGGTTTTTTTTCCAAATAAAAGAGCTATTAAAATACAAAACTTTAATTATGATTTGCAGTGTTTAAATTGACCATCGTGTCAGGTTGTGGGATTTGCTTTAGATTCCACTCTATTTTACATCAGTATACTGAAATTTTTATATCAGATAATGCTTGTATAATGCCGATTTTCTTATCTTCCAAGTGAGTTTATTTTATAAAGGCCTAAATATGAGTGTTTTTCTTGTACTGAGACCTTCAGAAGACATAATCTCAAGGACCACACTTTGCAGTTCTCTCTTATGACCACATATATTTTGAGTGAAATTTGAAAATGGTCAGTGGTTGAGGCAGAGAGCTGCAATAGAGCAAATCATTTTTACCAAGCATGTAGAAATGACACCTGTATTCAAGAAAGAGATCTCTGTCCCTTTTATTTTTGGCATTTATATCAGAATTGGCGATGCTTCATGTGATACTAGTAATTATGTTAGTAATCATTTTCCCTTAAATTTTTTTCTATTGTAGAACGATACCGCATTCAGAGTGAACAGTTTGAAGACCTCTGGCTCATAACAAATGAGCTTATTATCCGCCTTCACGAACATTTTGAGAAGCAGGGAGTCAAAGATTTTGCGTGTTCTTTTTCTGGATCAATGCCCCTTCAAGAATATTTTGAGTTGATTGATCATCATTTTGAGGTATGTATGAACATAACCCATATCATTTAGAACTGCTCAGTATATAAGAGAGAGGTGCTGTAGAGGTAAGAATTCTACTATGCATATAATTAGGTTTTGTACTTAGAGCTGTTTTTCTTCTTGGTAGATTTTGTGACACTGTTTCTGCCCTCCTGCTCCATTTGTGATCAGTTGCAGACATTTAAAAAGTGGCTGCCTGGAGCTAAGCATGTGGTCTGGCCTTGGAACAGAGCTGATTTAATTCTCCCTCAAGGGAACTTAACCTTTGACCCCAATAACCCTGTGTTAAAACTATTTTTGCTTATCGGCAGCCATTTGGCTAACTAATTCTAGCAAGCCATAAATGAGGTGTGATTGTAAAATAAAGTGATTTTCCCTTTTTTTTTTAAAAGCAAGAACAGAAGAACTTCTGCATCTGAGCAAGGATACCTAAATATTCTCCAGTATAAATTACTAACATAATTACAATGGATACTTAGTAAATATGGAATGATTAAATATCTAAAATAAATGAGATCTGACAGTGATTTTTTCATATGAATATTTTTGTACTCTATGTTATCTTTGTTTTGGGGGCCACAGTGCTCAGAGCTTATCCCCAGCTCTGTGTACTGGAATCACTCATGGTGCAGAGGACCCAAAGGGGCTGGCCTTGTGTAATGCTAGCACTCTAGGCACTTCTCCAGTCCTTACGATTCTATATTGAAGGTGGCTTCAGAACCTGTTTATTTATTTATTTATTTATTTATTGCTTTTTGGGCCACACCCAGCAATGCACAGGGGTTATTCCTGGCTCTGTACTCAGGAGTTACTCCTGGCAGTGCTCAGGGGAACCATATGGGATGCTGGGAATCGAACCTGGGTCGGCCACGTGCAAGGCAGACACCCTACCCTCTGTGCTATCTCTCCAGCCCCCCTTTTGAGTATTTTAATGGTGTCAACTCTTCACTCTTTTTCGTTTGTTTGTTTGTTTTTAGTTAAACACCATGAGGTACAGTTATAGACTTATAAATTTTTGTGCTTGGGTTTTAGTTATACAATGATAAAGTACCCATCCCTCCACCAGTGCCCATTTTATGACTGATTTGATATTTTGAAATATTCAAGAATTATGTTATGTGAATGAATTGGACAATGTCATTGAATTAAATGTCTTGCTTCTTAAAAGGCACTACTCAACTGTCTTTAAATAGAATCTTTAAAGCTATTATGAAGGAGAATTTTTAAAAAGTCTCAACATTATTAAGAGGAATATTAGTTCTCTAGAGTGGCTAATTTTTAGCAATTAAAAGGTTTAAAAACTATGGTGTGTGCTGTGGTGTGGTGTGTATGTATGTGTGTGTGTTTGTGTGTATGTGAGTGAGTGTGCATACTATCACTCTTGTAGTCAGTCCAACATTCTACATAATGTTTAGTTCCTACGACATTATTATTATTATTTATTTATTTTTGCTTTTTGGGTTACACCCGGTGATGCTCAGGGGTTACTTCTGGCTCAGGCACTCAGGAATCACTCCTAGCGGTGCTTGGGGGACCATATGGGATGCTGGGAATCGAACCTGTACCAGCCATGTTGGCTGCATGCAAGGCAAATGCCCTACCCGCTGTGCTATCGCTCCAGCCCCAATTATTATTATTTTTAAAAAAATTTTTTATATATTGAATCACCGTGAGAATAGCCACAAAGCCTTTCAGTTTAAGTCTTGGTCAGTCATACAGTGATCAAACATCCATCCCTTCACCAGTGTACATTTTTCACCACCAAGAACCCCAGTATACCCCCACCGTTCCCCCCGGCCTGTGTGGCAGATTTCTGCTTTACTCTCTCTCTACATTGATCACATTAAATATTACGACAAAAGACCCGCCAAGGGCTGGAGCGATAGCACAGCGGGCAGGGCATTTGCCTTGCATGCAGCCGACCCGAGTTCGATTCCCAGCATCCCATATGGTCCCCCGAGCACTGCCAGGAGTAATTCCTGCGTGCAGAGCCAGGAGGAACCCCGGAGGATCGCCGGGTGTGACCCAAAAAGCAAAAATAAATAAATAAAGTAAATGGAATCTGAACATTTCCCATTTTAGGGCTGGAGCGATAGCACAGCGGTAGGGCGTTCACCTTACAAGCGGCCAACATGGCCGACCCGAGTTCGATTCCTCCGCCCCTCTCGGAGAGCCCGGCAAGCTACCGAGAGTATTCGATATGCCAGACACAGTAACAACAAAGTCTCCAATGGAGACGTTACTGGGCCCGCTCGAGCAAATCGACGATCAACGGGAGGGCCTTTACCTTTACCTTTATTATTATTTGGAATTTCCCCCAACAATCAGACCTGCCGAAAAGACATCATTAGATAATATATTTTCTATTGCTGATTATGGAGAGCATATGATGTCACATAGCCATGATACGATTTTGGATTTCAGATATTCTAGTAATAAGTCTGGAGGGATTCCTGCCAAAAGCTGCTGGGTTCTGAGATAGGACTGTATGCCTCTGAATCATGGTAATTCAGGAGCCAGAGGAGTCGTTCGTGTGTGGCAACTCGGGGCTTTGTCCGGGCGGGGAGAAGGGCGGTTCCACCCCCCATCCATGAGGTCCTGCATGCCTCGTCACTGCAGTCTCATAACTGGCTGTCCATTAGGCTCTGAAAGATGGTGGCTACTATGCCACCACCGCCAGGGGCAAAAGCCAAAGGGACAAAAACCCTTCCCCTCCTGGGGTGACATGGTGCCATAGTTTAATGCACATTCCAGATGCATTTCTGCCAAAAGCTGGCAGTTTCTGAGATTGGTTTGTGTGCCTTTGGGATCATGGTCGTTCAGGAAGCTCCTACAACATTCTAAGAGCACTGACCTATTACAAATTTCTTTTGGTATTAACAATTACATACATTTTAGTGCATGCAATTTGTTACAAACATGTCATTCAAAAATAGAATTTATTTGGATTTTCCCTGGTCTATACTGATAATATTTTATATGACACTACACTTTGCATCAAATCATAACACCTAAATTGACAGTTTGGAAAATATATTAAGACATTTTAAAATTCAAGAAACTTTATAATTTTCTAGAAACTTTGAGAAGTTTTTGTTTCAACAGAACCAAAGAGTTGGCCTACAAAAATGGAGTTTACATGGGGACTGGTGGGCTGGATGGGGTGGAGGCAAGCCTGGGGAGTCCTTCACACAATGGCAGAGGGAAGTGGACACTGGTGGAGGGTATGGTGTTGCATTCATGTATGCACGACCCCTTATTACTAGCAGTGTTGTGTCCTAAATCACAGTACTTCAAGTAAATATAGAAAATTCTATTAAAAAGTTTGGGAAATAAAAAGGAGTTCCTGTTTCACTACAAAACTGGAATCTAGCAATTTATAATTTTACTCATAGAATGAGGGCTGGAGCAACAGCACAGTGGTAGGGTGTTTGCCTTGCACACAGCCAGCCCGGCCTAGCTGAGTTCAATTCCTCCGCCCCCTTGGAGAGTATCTACTGAGAGTATCTTGCCCTCACATCAAAGCTTGGCAAGCTACCCATGACGTATTCGATATGCCACAGTAACAACAAGTCTCAAAATGGAGATGTTACTGGGCCCGCTCAAGCAAAATCAATGAACAACGGGAGGACAGGACTCATAGAAAAACTAATTATGTTTCTATAATATTTTACAGAAAATAATATGTTCTGAGTACTGAATTTGTCACAGTTTTATCTCCTTAATTGTTGACTGGGAAATCTCTGGAGTTCCTAAATCAGGGTACCTCCTTTCTGGGGGGACTTGAAGGACTTGGTGAACGACAGGCTCTTCATTTGTTACATACTCAAGGGGATGAGGTTGTGCTTTCTTTGCTTCTTGCCTCCACTCTCTGCTTTTAGCCTTTAGCATTAAACTTTCTAATTTTAATTTTTGGTGTGGGTTGCATACCTAGTGTTGTTCAGGACCTACTCCAAGCTCTGTGCTCAAGGATCACTCCTGCTGGTGGTCAGGACAACATAGGTGGTGATTAGAACCAGTGTCAACTGCATGCAAGGCTGCAAGGCAAGCACTTTAACCTCTGTACTATCTACCCAGACCAAAATGAAAATATCTAAAACTTTAATTTAAGATGATTGTTGGAATGCAAACATTGCTTTGTACAAACTCCATGAAGGCAGTGTCTGTTTTATTCATGCTTATAATTCCTATTGCTTAGAATGGACTTTGATTCTGAGATCAGTATATATACTTGAAATGCTGACACATGAAAACATTTCAGTCACTGCCTTTGTTTACACATTCAAAGGACTTATCATGTGGGCTATGTCATAGGACTGATATTTTTATGTGTTTCATAAATTCAGGAAAGAAAATAATATATCAGAAAAGTATAAAATTAAAAGAGTGAATTATTGATTGCTAAACCAGTTAAAATTTCTCCCAAACCAAATTTTGGTATTTGAAACATTTATCTTTCCACTGTTTATAATGAAAGTTACCCCTTAAAAAACAACAACAAAATATTCTTTGTTTTTATTAGTTGCTCAGTATTTCTATAATTGGGATTAAAGTAAATTCACTGTCACTGTCACTGTCCTCCTGTCGCTCATCGATTTGCTCGAATGGGCCCAGTAACGTCTCCATTGTGACACTTGTTACTGCATTTGACATATCGAATACATCACGGGTTCTTGCCAGGCTTTGCTGTGCGGGCGAGATACTCTGGGTAACTTGCCGGGCTCTCTGAGAGGGGCGGAGGAATCGAACTCGGGTCAGCCATGTTGGCTGCATGCAAGGCAAACGCCCTACCCGCTGTGCTATCACTCCAGCCCTTAATAATTACTTAATTAATAAATAATTAATTTCAGTTTTCTTTTTTGTTGTTTTATTTATTTATTTATTATTTATTTTTTTATATTTTTATTTTTTAAATTTTTATTAGTGAGGCATCATGAGGTACAGTTGTAGACTTACAAATTTTTAAACAGTTTTAAACAGTTGTTGGGCCACTGGTGGTGTCCAGGGCTTACTCCTGGCTCTCTGCACAGGGATCACTTTGGTGGACTAGGGACCCAGATGTCTGGGAGCAAACCCAGGTTGACCGCATGCAAGGCAAGTGCCCTACTGCTGTACTTCTGCGCCTGTTTGCATTTCATCATGTATCTGGAAATTTAGTTCAATAACAGGAATGTAAAGTTTCAAGATGTTTGACTGTGAACATTTTGGATATGACTTTATTCCAGAACTGTTTTATAACTTTTCTGTAAAATTAAACTTGGAGTTCACATGATCTGATTTCATGAAGTATTTCCACTGTCCTGGACTTTGACTAGCTTTCTTTTATTTTAATGAGATTAAATGAAACAGTTATAGGAAAAATTACAGGAGAGAGTCATTTGAATTCCCATCCGTCAGCCACTTTTACCTTTAGAGACTTTGGATAGTGTGTGTTTGTGTGTATGTGTGTATGTGTGTTTGCTATCTTTTTGTATTTAGAAATACTGTCTACAGTCACACCTTTGTTAATATATATATGTATATATATATGATTCTTATTTTTTAAAGCATGATTTTTTGTATCCCTGAAACAACTCTATTATGAACAACTTTATAAATCACAAAAATTATTTATAATTTTTACCGTGCTTCTGCGTTGGGCTTGAGAGATAGCATAGCTGGGTAGGGTGTGCCTTGCACGCAGCTGACCCGGGTTTGATTCTTCAGCCCCTCTTGGAGAGCTCAGCAAGTTACCGAGAGTATCTCCCCTGCAGGCAAAGCCTGGCAAGCTACCCATGACATAGGTAACAACAAGTCTCACAATGGAGACATTACTGACCCCACTTTAGCAAACTGATGAACAACAGGACAGTGCTACCGTGCTACCGTGCTTCTGCAAAATAATTTTGTTAAACATAATCTATTCCTATAATAATTTATTAAATCACCAGTAAAGGTGGGGAAATAACATATCGATGAGTACTTTTTTTTCTAGAGAAAACCTCTATAAATTATAGTTTGCATTTTTTTTAACATATGCTTCTCTTTTAGGCTTCCTTCCTCATCTTTTCTATTTTGGTAATTGCCTCTTGAATACCTTTGTTGTTCTACACTTTATTCTTGTGTTCAGAATACATAAATAAATACAACGGGGTCAAAAAATGGTAGTCTATTATGCATACTGTTTATTATTTTTGTTTGCTTTGTTCCATTTAATGTACCTTTGGGAAGACTGAATGAATATCTGTACCAAGTAGTACTTACAAAGTAGTTGTTTTTATCCACTAGCTAGCCCCCTTTGATGAGAATTTTGATTAGTATTATGCTACTCTATCAGCAATGAAATAAACAATTCCTTAATATTCTCTGTGTGGTAGTATAGGATTATTAGGTAGAAAGCTATATTTTTAAGAGTTATTTGTGTTACATTTTCTGTGTTCTATTCATTTTCCTATCATATTGTTTTCTTCCACTAATTTAGGCTCTGATCCCTTTCCCATTAGTGATAGATGTTTTCTCAATATACTGGGCATGGTTTTTTGTCTCTGGTTATTGCTGTTAATTTTGGCAGTATGATGTTTGTAAGTGATTATTATCACTTACAATAATCACTTTTTTATTAACCATGAAGAATTACAATTTTTTAGTTAGTAATTTGCCAGTTTTGTGTTTATGTGTGGCTTTGGCTTTTTTGACTTATGCTAATAAGGAACTTTTCCATGTTGAGATTATTAAAAAAAAATCCTAGTTTTTCCTAGTATTTTCTAGTAATGTAACTGACTTTACCATAGAAACTGGGGACAAATTCCTAGTTCCTCCAGTTATTTAATCAGCACAAAACATTTATTTATCTTTTCCTTGTGAGGCTATATCATCCTTACTGAATTCCATTTTGACCTTTTCTGCTCTTATGTATTCATGCGTGAAATACATCTTTTAGTTCTCTAAACTGACACTTGAAGTTTTTCATTATTCTTCCTCAAACGGTTGGCACTATTCTCTGTATTCTTACTTTAAGCATGTTTTGTTGTTCACATTGAATCTGAATTCAAGGAATTTTTTATTTTAGCTTCGGATAAATGGTGAAAGATTAGAAGAACTTTTATCGGAAAGAGCTGTGCAGTTTCGGGCTATCCAGCGTCGACTGTTAACAAGATTCAAAGATAAAACACCCGCCCCTCTCCAGCACTTGGACACCTTGCTCGATGGAACTTACAAGCAGGTAAGTCAAATGTCAGTGAGAGTTTCCCATTGGACATCACCTTTCTGCTCACTCTCTAGTATGTGCCAGAGCACCCACAGAAGCTTTGTCTCTTTACAATATGGGACAATGAGCAGCACACAAGCTTTTTTAGTCGCAAATCTCCAGGTTCAAAGTTGGATTTTGCCACTTTCTAACTATGTGACCTCAGGTGAGTTATCATTTTACCACTCAGCATTGTTGTTGGGAATTTTGATTATTTATGTGAGGCAACCAGCCCTGCGCCAGGCACACTGTGTGTTTCTGTTAAATCATATATTAGTGTTCTCCCAGTGATTAGTGTTATTACTAGATATTTCTCTGTGCATCACATAATTATTACCATAATTAGCTGATTGTCTTATTGAGCAACTGGCTTATACTTCCTATCAGTTCATGTTTTAAAATGGAATTCTTAGCCCTTTGTTCTATTTCAGAGAGACTTTTGCCCTTCCTCTTCTTCGTTCTTCCTTCCCTGTGGTTTATCATTTGCATGGCAGGGTGATGTGGCTCTCATTCCTGAAGTGTTATGTTTTCAAAAAGTATTCAAAGATATTACATCTGTCATAATTTTAGAGCTAATTCCTTTTCTCACGTCCCTTAGTGAGTGGCTTTCAGCGACTACAGTATCTCTTCTCATATGTCTGTACGGTAAATAATCCATTTCAAAGTCAATGCAGATGGCATGATAGTCTATTGTTTTTTAATTGAAGTTTTTTTATTGAGAGTTATGTCAATTCACATAACGTTATAATAGAAAGTGTATCTCATATATCCCCTACTCATTTTCCTTTTAGGGTGCCAGTTTGCAAAGTTCTAAGTTCAGTATCTTCTCAGAGAGGATATAAATATTGATAAAATATATAGATTTTATTCACATCCCAAGTTGCACTTGTATTCCTTTCTGTGCGTGTGTGTGTGTATGTGTGTGTGTGTGTGTGTGTGCAGTTCTCTGCAATGTCATCACATGTGTTCACTATCCACCATGTCCACTATCAGATTTGAGATGCTCAACAGCTCCATTGCCACCAGATGCCACCATGTTGCTCTTCTGTTACCATCCCCAACCCCACTGCCCCCTCTTTCTGGCCTCTACAAGTGGTTTTGAAATGACAAATTAGATTTTTTTGTCAGAGTAGTTTTCCGAGAAGAAAAACATTTCTCTGTTTATATTGATCCTATTTGCACCTTGAAATGGTGATTTGCTTCTCTAAGTGGCAGTTTTTCTTGAAGTGGCAATTTGAGGGATGCTCTCTAGCATCCCTCCAAAGTATTGCAAAGATACTTCGGCAAAGGTATTGGGAAGAACATTGAGCTTGGAGTTCAAAGACCCCAGTTTCACCACTGATTTGTTGTATGAATTTGGGCAGTTGCCTTGGCTTCTGAGAACTCCCCCCCCCCCATCACATCAGTTCAATATTCACTGTATTACACATTTGTATTCCATAATGTACATGGAAAGGTATGGTAAATTGTCCTACAAATCCAGACTACCAGTTTTTCTTTTTTTGTGCTAGAGTAATTTGTGACTTTTGCTTCAGTAACTACTGATGCTCTTTCTGTTTTATACTATTATTCTTTTTTTAATACACTGTGTTGGTGGGGCACATATCTGGGAGTGCTCAGGGATTACTCTGGGCTATCACTCAGGAACTACGTCCTGTGAGTATGTGGTGCTGGGAATTGACCCTTGTAGTACATAATTTTGTTTTTTTTTTTTTTTCACTTTTTCCCTCCTCTTCCTTTCTATTGCCTTAATTACTTGTCTGTTTCATTCTAGGTCCCTTGCTCTACTTGCCTTACTTGGGGACTGAAGATATAGCCCTTATCTTTATAGTCTCCATTTATAACAATTCTTTTTTTCATAAAGTTGTCCATGATGATTTATTACATTTAGTATTCCAATACTAATCCCACCACCATTGCGCCTTCCCACCACCATTATTTCCAATTTTCCCAACCACCACCAAGCCTGCACCAATAGCAGGCCCTAAATAATTTATTTTATGTTACTTGTTATGAATAATTCACTAAAAATGATCTGAAAGGCTTTCTTAAAGGAAAATGTGTGAAGATTGTTGTATCTTACCCTGGAGCTATTAATCCCCTGTGTAAGAGATTACAACCATGTTATTATGGGTCAACCCTTGTGTCTTGATATTTTCTTAATCGAGATTGGCTGCCTTCTCATTTACATCTCATGTAATGTGTTGTGCTACTTTTAGTTTAGCAGTGATGTGGAGTTTGTTTGAGATGTTGTGCAGTCATGAATGCAGCCATGCACTACAGGAATTCTAAAATTTTCAATGGCGTGATACAGCTGAAGTTAAAATTTTAACTGGATGCTAGTCATAACTGGTTTATGAGTTTATTTGGTGTCAGAGGCAGTTTGTGGGTGTGACCACCAGCCTCCTGGAAGCACAGGGAGATGCAGGGAGGTAGCCCATCCTCACTCCATGAGAGCCTGGAAATTTTGGTCACAGAACCTGCATACTTGTGTTTTTCAACAGATTAATTCCTGTCTGAGGCTTGTCCTGAGGCTATGGAGTGCGAGCATGGTGGCAAATGGAATGTGGAAGTTTTTGGCTGTTGGGGCTCTGATTGGGTGGATGGTGGACTTATCAGCCCCGCTCCGGGGTGCCTCAGATAGACTCAGCCTGGCATGGGGTCTGGAAGCATCTCTGCAACTTGTTGATCTCTTTCGAGATTCATTTATGAGTTTCTGGATCGTTGTTGGTGAAAGAGCTTATTTGGTGCCAGGGGCGGGATTGTGGGTCTGACTGCCAGGGTTCCAGAAAAGCAGGGAGATGCAGGGAGGAAAATCTTGATATATTTATGTGTGTGTGTGTGTGTGTGTGTGTGTGTGTGTGTGTGTGTGGCAAGGGCTGGAGCGATAGCACAGCGGGTAGGGCATTTGCCTTGCACGCAGCCAACATGGCCGAGTTTGATTTTTCCACCCCTCTCGGAGAGCCCGGCAAGCTACCGAGAGTATCTCGCTTGCAGGGCAAAGCCTGGCAAGCTCCCCATGACGTATTCGATATGCCAAACACAGTAACAACAAGTCTCACAATGGAGATGTTACTCTTCCCCCTCGAGCAAATTGATGAACAACGGAAGGACAGTGCTACAGTGCTAATACTTTATATATAAAAAAAAATTGGGGGGGGCGTCTATATTTTTGGTTACATCTGACTGTGCTCAGTGTTTACTCCTGGATCTGCCCTCAGGGATCACTCCAGGTGAGGCTCAAGTTCTCACGGGTGATGAGGATCGAACCCTGGTCAGCCACATGCAAAGCAACAGCCTCCCAGGTGTGCTATCGCTCCCCCATACCTTTTATATTTTCTATATGTAAGACTTACTTGACTTTTGTAAATTTAAGTGATGGTGTTATTTTTATTTCTGCTTCACCTTAGGGTTGGTATTTTCCAAGAGTTACAATATTAAAGACAAGATGATGAAAATTGTTGGTTTTCACTTGGATATGTACTTTTAAGTCCTTGTTACTTTCATATTAAAAAAGAGAATGTAAGCCTTTGATGGAAAATATGAATGAATGCTATAAAGAATTTGGCTTAGTTTTAATATGATTTACTATTCAATTTTATTATATACATTTCCGTTACCATTTTTGTTCTCTATTTAAATTCTTTTTAGTTAATTTTAAATAGCAGAGTTAATATGTAATATAATTTTCCAAAGAAAATTGCAGCACTGTACATAATACTAAATCTCACTTTTTATCCTTTTTAAAAGTCTCTTCAGAAATATGTTCATTCTTATGTTTTTATGTCTTTCCAAACATTTATTTTGCATTTAAAAATGAAATCAAATACTGTTTGTGTGAATAAAATTAATCAATCACAATTTATGTTCAATCTCTCTCTTTTTTTCCTTTTCTTCTAACATTATGTACTGCATTTTTTGTTCTATGAGTAAATGCATTATTTCTGCTAGGATAATTTCTTAAAATTATATGTCTTTGGTTTATTTTTATTTGATTATCACAACAAGCTCCCGGGAGAGCACAAGGCAGAGTCTCCTACCCTGTGTCTGACTATCCTCGCCAGGGCCCAACAGCTGAAGACTTCCAGGCCCCAACCAAGGCCTTACTGGAGCCACTCTCCACACACTTGGATAAGCCTCAGACATAACCGAACTGGCAGAGGAACCCAGGTGTGTGGGACCCGGGACTGAGATCTTTAAGCCTGCACGGTTTGGGACTGGACCTGTCAGTAGCTAAACAGTTACACCCTCCAACTGCCGTGTAACCCCAACAAAGGCCAGGATCCAAAGATTATCACAACAAGCTCCCGGGAGAGCACAAGGCAGAGTCTCCTACCCTGTGTCTGACTATCCTCGCCAGGGCCCAACAGCTGAAGACTTCCAGGCCCCAACCAAGGCCTTACTGGAGCCACTCTCCACACACTTGGATAAGCCTCAGACATAACCGAACTGGCAGAGGAACCCAGGTGTGTGGGACCCGGGACTGAGATCTCTAAGCCTGCACGGTTTGGGACTGGACCTGTCAGTAGCTAAACAGTTACACCCTCCAACTGCCGTGTAACCCCAACAAAGGCCAGGATCCAAAGATTATCACAACAAGCTCCTGGGACTTGTTTATTTAATAATTTTATTTAATATTTAATAATAATTTATTTAATAATTTTCAGGATACCTTAAATATCCTTAAATATCCAACCCACACGGCAGAGCCTGGCAAGCTATCCGTGATCTATGCCAAATAGACCAAATTGATATGCCAAATCCAGTAATAAATGGATCTCATTCCCCTAGCCCTGATTATGCAGAGTCGAGAAGGATATGGAAGGAGAAGCTGATAAAACACCAAGGCAGACATGGGCTGCCAAAACGCAGAAAAACAAAAATGATTGTCTGTACTTTTAATGCTCGTACGCTGGCATCTGCTGCATCCATTGAAGACCTTATGGTACAAGCACGAAAGATCAAGTACGACATCA